CCATTAATTTACCTATTATTATAACATAAAGCTTTGAAGAACAAACTGACAATATACAAAAGATTCAGATAATACCATCACTGAGAATTTTCACTAAGGAATTTGCCCCTCCTCTTATGAAAATAAAACATTAAACTGAGAAACATGGAAGTAATTTCAGCTTGCATATAAACAGCTCAAATAATTAATTTTTACATGTTTTTAATATTAACTAATTTTAATATGATACAAACACAGCAGGGACACTTTTTTCCCATTATAGCAAGCTTTTACAGGCAGGTAGACTCCTGCTAAAATGAGCATAATATATTCCCTTGCTGTCAAGCATTTGGCTTCATAGATTTTCTAGAAATCTTAAGGCATGACATTCAAACTGCAGAAGCATTCAAGGGAGCACCATGTCTGCAAATGGAATGGTGAATCTGACCCACTTATTGCTGACTGCTCATTTTCAGGGCTCTGTGATTTCCTGAAGTCTCTACTTACAATCTTACTTTTATTTAGAATACACAGGCTAGACAAGGAGGAAAAAAAAAAATGAAGCAAGGGCTGAGGTCATCAAGCCCACTCAGGTGTCCACAGGAGTCCCTTCCACAGTTCAGCAGTAGTTTATAAAGGTAGGGGGAACAGTGAAGGGAAAAGAAGGCATCTTCCTTTCTAAAAGGCTTGAGTTTCAGCTAGAAATTTGCATTCTTTGCTTCTTCTACACTTCTCATCTGTTGTGTGGTGACCAGACTGAAGGTTTGTAGCAATTTACTGTACATGTGCTTATGTTTTGGGGGATGTTACTAATTAGAATTCTGTAGCTACTTGTACCTGTATGAGTATGGCTTGTGGCATGCTTCATGGTAGTATTTAGAACATGTTATTTCTTTACTTGGTTTTGGTATGTTAAAGTTTCTAGTAGTAGGCAAATGGTTAGGGGAGTTTTCTGAACTTAAATCAGATACTGAGAAATGTTTCTGTGTGAAAAAGCTATAAGGAGGACCTTGTTATTAATTAGGAATTTAACCACAATTTCCAAATTCCAGGAGGTTTTTTTGGGCAGAAAATTCATGCAGCAGCTAGTGAACACCTTAACATTTTAGAGATTTTTATCCTTAAAGAAATAAGTAAGTGGCGAAGCTGGTGATACAGAATCTCTCCCGTGTTAAAGATGAGTCTGTAATTCGTGTTACAAAAGGCATGTATTGCACTGTCTGACACTGCTTATATGAAGACTGCAATGCAGAATATGTCTTGGCCTATTTAAAGATGCACTGGCACCTCCATCTTTTGGTCACGTGTACAGTACATTTAAGTGGATTTGAAGCCATAAATAGCATTTTCAGGTTCCTGTGGGCTTCCACATAGTAGGGTAAACCACAATGGTCTCTTGACCTCTTCCAAGTATTTTATACCTGTCAGACAGAAAGAAGTGAAACTACTTTCTGTAAGAGATCAGATATCTGAAATTTTCAGAATGGAGAAGGTACAGTGAAAAGGGAGAGTACAGAAAAAGTGCAAAAAGGGAAGATATTTAAATCAGTGGGATGTTACTCCATTATAAAGAAAGATGTTTTCTGAAATACTTTTTTATCTAGTATAATGCTAGAATTCCATATGTCTTTGCATCAATATAGTTCTCTGTGACTGAAGTTTTTTAGTATCATCTAAAAAGTGGTTTAGTCTGAAGTCTGTGAAAGTCGATAAAGCTCACAGAGCAGCCAGTATAAATGGTACACCATGGCTATTACTAGATCAAGATCAAGTCCACCACTAAGCCATGCCCCTGAGCGTCACATCTGCATCTATTTTGGTGAACCATGAGGGGAAAAAAAGCCTGTAAAAAGGTGCTCAGACACTTGATTTGAATGTTTTCTCCTTCTTAGCAAATAATCTTTAAAACGGTACTTGAATCAACAACTCGTTTTCTTTGAAATGAGTTAATTTAGGTGTTATAATTTAGGTCTTATCTGCTCTACCAAAAGGAAAGTATTATTGCATCTATAAACCAGTCCTCTTTTTCTCTCTTTTTTTTTTTTTTTCATCCAATGTAACTGACAACTATAATTCTGTTTTGTGTCTTTTGATGCATATATTTCTGGTATTTCTTTATTGTTTGTCGTAGCCAGAGGATAAAACTTATTTTTTTAGTCCTTTATCTTTGCTCCATGCTAACATTTTATAAAACACTTTCTCTGATTCCTTACAGAATCACAAATGGTATCTTTAATTTAAAGATATTTAATAATGCAAATGTCTTTCTACAAAAAGAACGTAGTGAAGATTATTCCAGTATATGTATGAGAGCCACAGAATTGTGTTGAAGCCTTTAGAGGTATGGTTTTGTTTGCAGCAGGGGTAGGGCTGTGTGGTGGCAAACAAGAAACTAGTGAAATAAGTGGAGTGTACACTTCAGGTACCTTACATTTGTAAGTGGCTTTATCTAATCTATACTTAACTTAAAAATTTTCAGTTCTATCAACAATTATATTTTTAATGGTCCACTGTAAGGACAGAGAAATAGAGAAATGAGCATGCAAAATACAAAAATATAAAAAAAATCCAAACCATTTAGGATTTTATGACTCTAAGATTTTTACTGACAGTGTAAAGAAGACAGAGTAAAGGCACTGATTAAAATGTAAACAATTTTTTAATCAGATGAATTTTACTTACCGCTGTCATCCATCAAGTAATTTTTAGTGCAATCAAAGCTTGAGATTTGTTTCCTCTACAAAAACATTATAATTGCATTTTCAATGCTCTTCAGACTTTGTTTATCTCTACCACAACAAAAAAATCTGTATTGCCATGACTTGAAATATGAGAATAAAGGCATAGCCTATAGCTCCCATTTAATTTTCTGTCACCGCAGGATGTGCACAACGATTGTACAACATTCTTGGCTGTATCATAAATAATCCTTGCACATCGGGCCAAAACCTCACCATACTGTAAATATTTTCAGATCAGCAGAATGTAATCCAAAGAGGATAAGCTGATCTTCTGTCAAGACAGCTAGCAGCCAAGTAGGTAAGGATTTTGAGAAGTATTAATTAATCTTTTTCTAGGAACATTAAAGATCTGCTAATTGTTCAGGGAACTGGAACAAGGGATAGTTATAGCCAGCTAAAGGTTGTTCTTCTCAACAAAACATTTCCCCCCCATACCAGCTTTTACACCAAGGCTCCCTGTTATTGTTTCAAAGGATCAACTTTTTAAAGAAGTTTGTTATTTATGAACCGAAAGGAGATGACCTGTCTACCAGTAGAAGATACATAGTACGTTTCAATTCTAGATTGTAGGCTTATATTATAGATTTATCACACTTATTTCAGTTTTCTGTTGTACTCTAATATGACCACTGTTGTAGAATTATTTTACTTACCTAAAGCAGGCATTCTTGACAGATGTGTGAGGGGAATTTCAGAGTGTTGTGATTTTATTTTTTTTTTAATAGCTTAAGTTGTGCAACAACGTGTATTGGGTTACAGCCAGCCCCAGTATTTCTTATGATGAATAATGAATTATTTGTTATATAATAGAAATATTAATAAAATATTTGTCAAAACCAGTTTACTTCTTTAAGAAGTATTATCTTCAGCCGAGACTGCAATATCACCAGATGGACAAGATTCTGAAGCGATGCTGTAAGTCCTTAATACACAAAGGATTTTATTAGTATGAGTTGAGCCTCTGTAAGGCCATGGAGAACAGGTTAGATATAAATCTGAGCAGCAAAATTTTACAAGGTTTTGAGCTTTCAGGTTGGGGGAAAGATAACAGCATTGTAGGAAAAGAACGGTCCATGTCAGCAGTTTAGGTCAGCTGCTGCCCCAAAGCTCTGCCCCTCCAATTTACAGCTGAAAGGTTAGGGCTCAGTCATGGCAGTTTTCTTGCTTCAGTGAGCAAACTGTCACAAACTTAAATTCAGTGATAATTTCAAGCATTTCACCATAGTAGGAAATAGCTTTAACCAATGTTGCAGTTATAGGGCTTTTGATGACTTCTGACAAATCTAAATGTTATCTAGGTTAACTTGCGTCATGATTGACACTTGAAGTTCTAATCTTAGCGCGTTGATAAAATTGAAAACAAAATTTGTCATCACTCTAACAGAAATTATATATTTGTAGTCAGTAAATTGCAGTCATTTGATCTGTGTGATCAAAGTAGGCTGAACCCCAAGGAATTGCTGATCACCTGAAATAAAATACTAAAGTAGCAAGACAAAAGAATGAGCTTGTGTCTCATTGCTCCCATGAGTCAAACAGACCAATAGGAAATGTTTCACCTTAGTAAGATAAGAGAAATTTTACTTACTTATTGTAATGCTGATTGGGATTCATAACCTCAGTGAGACACTTCTGGGTGTGTGCTGTTATAATGAATACACACAGGTTTCACTGAAGAGATTAAAAGCTCTTGGCACTAATAAGGGAAATGATCAAGGTAACATTTATTGCTTAATGACACCTGTGTGCTGCGTCTGCTCATAAAGTACCACCTTGCCCTTCAGTAAAAATTACAACAGACTATTTTAGAGATAAGTATGGGTGGGTACAGAAAGCGAGTTTCTTGCACAAGGACATGTCGCAGAGTGTAGTGTGGGGACTCAACATATTTTTTTTTCCAGTGAGCTAATAATAATAATGTACTCCAGACAGGCTAGGGCTTGTCAAATCCATGTTCCCCAGCTTTCCTCATCTTGGAGGAAAGGATGAGAAATAGGGCTAGTTTCAGAGCTGCAAAAAGACTATGTAAGTATAATAGACAGTGTGGTGACAATTGCTTGATAAAATGTGGCTGAGTCACACCCTCAACACAGACCTCTATGTAAATTGTGCAGTCTAGCCCAAAACGTCTGGCTGGAGTTTGCTGACTTGAGTTCATTCCTTGTTTTTATTCCTTGGTGGTTTGTTTGTCGCCTATCTTCTGCTTGGTTTTTTATAGATTAATGACAGTAGATACGTCTAGCTAGCTTCATAGTGGTATGGAAACATAAGCAGCCATACCTGCTTATATACCAAATAATCACAGAGATTTTTGTGGTCCTCAGCCTTTTATAGTCATAGGAGAATGAAGATAATTTTGTTTTTAATATAGCTTTCAGATTAGTCAAGCAGAAAGTAAAAAATGGAGTATCTAAGTATCTCATCTCTCCTTGGAGTACTTGAGATAGCCTGGTAGATAAAGAGATGAAGAGAAAACAAATTAATCAGATGACTGGAATGAATCATTGGAAGGTCAACAAAGGCTGGTCAAAAGGAGTTAATCGGAACTTGTCCTGAAATACACTTCTGTGCAGCAATCCCCAACTTAACCAGACTAATTGTCACTAAAAAGGACTTAATGTCATCATATTGTTGATTTAATTCCTAATGTACACTGTTGCCTTTGTCTGCAGTATCTAGGGAATTACCTTTTGTCTTCAAGTATCTTCCTTTCAAAGGATTCTTCAGCATAGCCTAACTATGACCACAGCACCGAACTTTATTAATGGTAATACTTTAAAGGCATATGTTGGAAGAAGTCTAACAAGACTTTGTTATAATACCACTTTTCCCTTGTTTTGTAGTTTCATTTTACTCCTAAGTATACTTTCCCTAAAAGCTTTGACAAAAAGGCAACAGTAAGTATTCTTGCTGTGACTGTAAGCCAATGATGAATATGCTGTTATACAATGTAAATAGCTGGGATGTATATAAAAAAAATTTGGAACATAGAGCTGTGGGAATTTGAGAGTATTGCAGATGCCAAATCATGTAATCTTTCATAAAATGCTCAATTTCATGAGGAACATTTGGTTTGGGTTTTGATTTTTTTTCCTTATTATAGGACTGTTCTAAAGTATTACTACTCTAATATTTACCTAATTCCTTTGAGAATCAGCCTAAAAGTACTAATAGTCACTTTGCACTCATTTGTTCTTATGCTTAAATTTGGTTTTAACCTGAATAGGTTTTTTACCTCATCTCTTAATTTTAATGGTTCTACAGGAAGAAATGAACCTCATAATTTAGGCTAAAGTTGAATGCTAATTAGTCTAAATACACACATCTGCGTGTTCAATCCATTTGTTTGTACTGCAGTATTGACTTTGTAATGTAAGGCAGGGCAGACCAGGGAGTGAGGTATAATTTCTATTCATGTGCAGTTCCACAAACATTGATAGACCTTGGAGGCATGTAAAAAAGACTGCGATAAGAATTCAGAATTTTGGTCTGAACTTTCAATGTCAAAATTCAAATACATGTGTCCTTTATGAAACAGCTGAATTGTACCTACAACCAAGAAAGAACTTATTTAGGTAAAAGATAAAAAGATGTTATCACTACTTTTCTAATCTTCATAAATTCCTGAAACTTTCTCAGAGTTACAGGTGTGTTAGAGAAGTTCTTATCCTTACCTTCTTAGGTATTCTAGGGAACGTCCATAGGAATTAGCTGGAGACCAGACAGATCATAATATGAAAGCATTTGAAACCTAAATGTACTGGTTCTTCAGTCCTAACTTTTGCAGTTGGCAATCTGCCATCCCTATGAAAATTACATCATTTCTGAAATGAGGCTAGAGAACAACTGCAAGAAGTTTCAGGAAGTTTGTAGGGTGCATGAGAAACAGTTCTTTCATTTCTTATGCTGACGTGACACTGTGAGGGGGGTCCTTTTTCAGGGGAAATTTGTTTAACTCCAAAGTTTTTTTATTTCAAGCAGTGAGGAATCCATGCTAGAAGGCCATTTGTTTACTAGTGCTGTCAACTGACTCTAATTACTACTATGAAAAGCACTGTGGAAACTATTTTGCAAGTGGTGTAGGTAGACTATTGCTGCAAGATGCAATCTGCTTTAAGGGCACTTGTTATACACAGAATACTCTACTGTAATCAGTGTGCCTAATTTCCTAATGATGAGAAGAGAAGACGCAGAGGTCATAAAGTTTCACTGACTCCTCAGTCTTGGAATATAGTAAGAAAAGGGGGGTAGCAGTAAAAAGTGAAGTGAAATAGAAATGTGGCTGTGGATACGACTAAATGTGTTAAGTGGAGTTTCTAACACTGGCTGGGGTTGAGTGTGGCAGGTCACATGCAACTACTGTCTAATGAGCACAGTGTGCTCAAAACAAGAGGACTTAGCAACTCCACAAAACACTCCTTGGCTACCAAACCTGTGACCCTGCAGCTCACATTGGACAATGTTATTCTAATGACTAAATATGGCAAAAAGTGAAAGCTGTTCAAATAATTACATTAAAAATGCCAAGATATCTTTTTTTAAACGAGGATGAAGGCTCACTCAGAGAGGTTAGTATGCCTGTAATGCTCATCAAATTTTCCTCTACTTAAAAATCTGAAGCCATAGAAGTTCTTTTCTAAACTGTTTTTCAGAATGCCTGAGCAAATAAATATAGCAACTTCATGGTTTTTCCAGATGAAAATATAGTAATATTGTAGAAGTGATGTGGTGATCCTCAGATTCCTTTGTTTAGAATTAGAAAATAAATTCTTACACAAAATGTTAATAGTGCGACTGCATACATAAACACAAAGGCAATAATGACATCGCACTGAGAATGCTTTCTCTGTGATTAGCTTTCCGAGACCAAACTGAAGAGAATAATTTTCTCTCCTGGACTGGCCACTCCTGAGAATGGCGTCACAGGGAAGGCCAGGTCAGTGGAGTCATCTCTGAACAGCAGAACTGTCTGACACATGGCTTTCTAAATGGGGAAATTTGCACAGTTTCTTCAGAAATGTGCAAATGTTTTCATTTAAATATTGTTCTTCTGCTTTCAGTATTCTGTCACATAAGATCAATGCATACAAAAATATTTTGAGATTTCAAAATATGACCAGATTAAAAAACCAAAAAAATCTGAAGTCACAGGTGGCTATTTGCCCATATCATTATCATCTTGATCCTCAGATTTACTAAATTCATGTTAGTTCCATTGTCTTCAGCAGTTATACAACTTCTTGTGAGTTGAAAATTTAATTCAATACTTTAAATTTAAAATAGCTCTAGAATTTTAAAATTTCTCTGTAGTGGTATAGTCCTTTGAAGTTCTTGTTACTGAAACCTTCACTTTTTGGCCATCCTTTATCCCCTTCAACTGTTTCAAACAGTTGTAATAAGTGCTGTTAATACATAAGGTATTATGTATTAACATGATACATAATATAAGCATATAAGGAAAAATACTAAAAAATGTTTAAATTCAAAAGCACTGAGAATTTTGGTAAAAGGAATAGGTTTACTTACCTGTGAGTGAGCAGGTGGTATTAAATGGAGCAGCTGAAAACTAATTGTGTCAAGAACTTGTAGCCTTCCACTGCATAGATCTGTTCTATAAATATTTTGGAGCAAGGGATGTATGATGTACAAACGCTGTGCAGCAAGTGTTTTGTTTAGTCGATAGTCTGGGTTGAAGCCCAGTCTGACATGACACACAAAATCTGTGCAGAAAGATTTTATGATATTTTCTTTAGTGGATAGTTTGGGCAGAAACCAAAACTGGGTCAGTAAAAAGCCAATGCCAGCCAAGCCTGGCTTTATTTTTCCCGTTTTTCTATAATTTGTGTTGATCCTATCACCTCTATGTAAAGCTTGGAAAGGTTCTTTTTGGCTACAAGAATTCCCCTGGCCCAGGCATCCACACCTTTTAGAAAGCAGAACAGAATGCTGTAAACACAACAGCGCTAAAACCAGTTGTCACTGCTATGTTTTCTGTCCCCAGGTCTTTCACAGGGCTAAGCAGATGCTGATGTGTGGCACATGAGGACATGAGGCCTCTGAAAGGGTGCAGGAGAGGGTACTGAGGGGTTTTGGGGAGGCAATGCTCAAGTGGGGCTCCAGTGCCTGTGCATTCCTCCTGTTCTGCTGATGGTGTGTGACACCTCTCTGAGCTGGTTGCACTGTTCTGGTTGCACTGGTTGCATAAAGAGCCATCTCGAATATAATCACAAGCTTTAGCACTGTTGGAAGAGATCCTTGCTTCCCGTGGTGTCTCACATGCTGTCAGTGGTGGAAGGAGCCAGCAGAGGAAACGCAGCAGAGCTGAGCAGGGTCTGGGGCACCAATGGGTGATGTGCTAGAGGGGGGAGACAAGGTGGGTGATAAGATAGTAGGCTGGGCTGGGGAAAAGTCCTGTACCGTGGTCTGGAGAGGAGGAAGATGTTGGGAGGCAGTAAGGTAGAAGTGGGAACCCTAGAGCCCCTATTAAGTCACAGAGCCACAGCCATCTCCACAGTTATGCTGTTCATTGTGAGTCTAGAGCAATACCTTGACCTCCAGCTTGGTGGAGCTCTCTTAGCCTGTGTCACTCCCCTGACAACTCCTAGCATGCTCCAAAGACCCCATGTACTGCACCAAGACTGTTCAAACTTGACTAGCCCCTCACCGATTCATTCTTGGAATCTTCTTTGCTGCTGCTGCAAAGTTGAATGTTGCCTTCATCCCTGAAGCCATTAAAAAATAATTTTGATGTAGCTTTTTTTCTTAAGTTTGGAACTTTCCTAATATGCTATGTTTGTTTAGTTCTATAACATCATTGCTACATATACACTGAGAAGCAAGCTTAGAATTAGCTCGCACATCTCTAGCTGTTTGCTGGCTGTGTCTTGCTGAAAATAACCTAGAAGTCTGAGCATAAATCATTGTCATCTGCAAGGGCATTCTTGTTGCACAAAGTAAATAGATTCATAAGAGATGCTTTCATTTGCAGATGTTAGAATCAGATCAATCCTACAGTGAAAGTGCAGCTCCAGAATTACTTCAGCCAAGGTAATTTAGTTTTGCTACAGCCCTATTTCCTTATATGTTTTGGCATAAGCATTTTGCATAACAGTTTGACAGCAAAACTGTCAGAAAACTGATAATATAAAATAAGTTTTCTACTAGCTTAGCTCCCAGAGTTGACTCACCATAGATCAGATCATAGTAGCACCAACTCACATTTAAAATGTTTTGGTACTGCATTAGAGACACAATTAATGCTAGTGATTACAAGAGAAATAATTGTAATCTTTCCTTCCAGCTGAAGAGTAAAAGGAAAAATAACAAAGCATTGTGTTTTACAATACCTTCAGTCTCTTTCCTGACTAGACACATGAACTGATTTGACTCAGAATCAGAAAAATTATGATCTCTTCCAATTGTTCTACTTTCTTTAATTACTCCACTATCCCATTTGGTTTTCGTCACTATCCAGTGTCACTTAGAAACAAAAGCAATAAATGGAGAGTTTACTGTTTCTTTTTAATGTGGTAACAGAAATACTTAGTAGAATAACAGAATAATTTCAGAATAGAAAAACATGCCCTCCTTGGTTCAATAATAAATTAATTCTCCCTGTTTTCTTGTTGATGTGGAGAACAAGAAACAACTCCTGCTATCCTAAAAGAAACTGCCTGCAGAAGAGGTGACTCTCTTAAGCCTACTTATGATGCCAGATAGTGCTTGGTAATTGAAACTAGACAATCTAGAGATCAGTAATAAGATGTAAATTTTTAACAGTCACTGCAAAGCAGACCATTAGATGTAAATATTATTATAGGTTTTATAATGCTTGAGATTATTCACAATGGTAAAATGTCTTTATGAGGCAGATGCTATTACTCAGACACCTCTTTAAGCTGGAAGTTTAAAACCTCTAGGACTGGTCTGGGCTGTTTCCTTTGCAGAAACAGCTTTAGTGGTACCTCTCATGTAACTTAATCTCAGATGAAAGAAAAAAAATTCTAGTCATGCATCTTTGCTTCCTGTCGACACATCTAATGAAACCTGTGTCATTTGGACAAAGGTACTATATACAAATAAAAAAGTTTCACAATTTATGGGCAAATCAGTCAAAATGTTGTAGAAGCAGACTGTAAAAACAACTTGTGTTGTTGAAAGCTTCATGATAAATACTGAAATCTCGGAAATGTAATTTAGTAATAGTTTATTTTAGTCAGCAAGACATGGCATGAAAGTTTATTTTAATCAGGAAGACATGGCACTTAATGCCATGGTCTAGTAACCACAGTGGTAGCGGACCAAGGGCTGGACTTGATGATCTTGGAGGTCCCTTCCAACCTGGCTGATTCTATGATTATATGATTCTAAGTATGAAAGGTTTAGTCCTGAGGTAATAGGGTTCAAAAAGTTAGTGAATTAGAATTGTAATGCCCTATGGCATCCCAGCTCTCTGTTGAAAATACAGTGTTGGTCTAGGCTTTATTCATACCTCTTTTTCCTCATAGCTTATTGGCACTCTTCTCTAAATGGTAGTAACTTGTTCAGTCTTGGTCAGCCTGAATCCCATCAAGCAAAGAGGAAGGACAAATTAGAAATCTTTTCCTTGTACCACCCTGGAGAGGTTAAGGCCTGATTATACTTTGCTATCTTTCCTCTGCTCAGTTTTCCCCTACACTTTGGGAAATGTTCCAGTCTGTCTTTCTGTGCCTGCTCATAGGTGGGTACAATTTGTTCCTTTTGCATAACTGCTTCTGTGGAATGCTCCTTGACCTCTGATGGTTTGCTTTACCCATAAAGATGAGCTCATATCAGTTTATTTTTCAAGGGATTATGAAGTCCAGCTGCAGTTGAAGTTGTTTGCTGTATCAGGTTCCTGTATGTATGTATTGACATAGTAAATGCCAGTCCTCTTGGCATGGTCAAGTTTCTTGTTCTTGGTCAAATTAATTCTTTGTCTGACTCTGCTTTTGAAAAATCTCTAGAGTGAATGTATCGTAACATGCCCTGTTCACAAGAAACTCTTTTAATAGCTTAATTTCTGCCAAAATCACTTATTCTGGTTTTAATTGTTATTTGTGCTAGTATATTTCTGCTAAGACTAAGTGTGCTTCATTAGAGGAAGTAGAAATAGATCAAGAATAGATTAATTTCTTCTTCCTGTAGCCACAGTGCAATGACAAAGTAGAAAAAAGAGAAAAGAATCAATTATAACTAAACCCCCAAACTATCAATATACTATCACCAAGATTTTCCCATATGTGTTGAGATTATTAAATAGCAGCAAAAAGTCAGAATTAACTGCAGGACCCTGAAAGGTCAGAAAGTGACACATCTGCAGCACAATATTATGAAAGAAGGATGAACTGCTCAGAAAAATAAAATGGACGTTCTTTAAATTTTCAGGAAATTAATTTTTCTAGACAACTCATTATTCATTTTTCAAGACTGTGTTACAAGGTTTCATGGAAGAAAATTTAACTGCTAAAGGAGAGCAGTATGAAGAATATTTAATTCTTTTTATGAGATAGAAACTTGGTGCATGTCCTGATTTTTTTTTTTTTTTTTTTTTTTAATAAGCGCAAATTTTTAAAATTTTTGCTCTGTCAGAGCAAAAATCTCACTGGGCTTTTTGGTGTGGTTTTTTTTTTCCTATTTGCTTTCTTTATTTGGGTTTTCTCCTATTTCTTTTTTTCCCCATAAACATCTAAAAGTAGGAACTGGGTACTACTGTCTTGTGTATTACCAGAAACTTTTATTCTCTTTACTTACATCTGTGACAGTATAATCCCAATAATAGCCTTAGCAGAAGTAGCTCATGTCTGTAGTATTCTCAATTATTGACTCTTTGCTCAAGAACAAGTAAATTAAAAAATGTATTGCGGAAACCACTGAGCAGGGGATCTCACAAGCCATTCCTATAGGGACTCTAAAAACATATTTACAGGTCAAAGCTATATGTGGGATATGGAAAATCCATACTTGTTAATTTAATGGGAAATAGGCAGTTGTATCCTTTGGGAAAATTGCAGAATTCTAGCTTATGGGTTTATTTAGGTATCCTCTCAATCTTTTTGTGTTGTTTTGCTGAATATTGTATGGCATGCCATACAACTGCTGAGAGAGCATTCTATTTCTGTACTTGTTGAATTCATGCCAAAATATACAGCCTACTGTGCAGTTAAACCAAAAGGGATTTGATAATTTGAAATTCCTTTTGCTGATATGCTATCCCATCAGTACAGTCTTTGCCACAAGGAAATCCCAAAAAAGTCAAAAATATCTGACAGTTGTATTACCTAAAACATTTGCCAGCCCGAGAAATCTAATTTTACCTAACGTGCCTTGCCGTGGGTGAGCGTATTCGCATTCTTAAGAAATGGCAGGTGACATGTGGTAGTGTACAGGTACCAGAGAGAAGAATGTTTTTGCAAAGTTTAGAAGAATACTTAGCTTCAAATTCTCCTCACACTTCTCAGGACACTCCCATGTTGCTTTGTCCACCTTAATGACAAGCTGCTGTTCGTTATCAGAGACCTTGTGATAGAGGTTATGAGTTCTGCTTTGAATAGACTTCAGAAAGATACAATTTGTCATGATTGTGTATCTAGAAACAAGGAGGTGAACTGCAGCGTTGCTTGGAAAAACTGTAGAGTTCAGAGTTTGGGTCAGTCATAAAATCTGGCAGGGCAGAAGGAGGGAACTGCAACCTAGATGGGATATCTTAAGACCAGTCTATGCAAATACAAGGTGATTAGGAACCTTATCTTCTCAGATGCCACCTTTCCTATTCGTGTGATCAAACTGGCTGATGTGATCAAGTACTGATGCAGTGTTAACAGGAGACCAAATTCGGGAGTTAATACCCCAGCTGCTGGAGTCTTCTATTACTGATGACAAAAGCTTTTAAACTGCAATACAGCTTGTTTCTCTTTCCTTCATAAGTGACTGAGATCAAAAAGGAAGTCATAATAAAGGAATCAAAGTTGTTTCACTGTGAAAATGTAATCAGATAAACACATGTTGATTTCAAAATTTTTATAAAATGCATTTGCATTCTTTTAATTAAATAAGTTAGTTCACATCTTGTACTGTTAAAAAGAGCATAAGCTGAAAACTCTCTTATCCTCAGATATGAATTCATGGAGAAGATTTTTGACACTGCTTTCCTATAATACATATCTTTAATAGTCAGGATGTACAGATACTTCCCTCTCAGTCTGCTCTGAGCTTTCCTTTCAGTGCCTGTATTTCTATTTCTCATTTCCTTCTTTTATCATCACATCCCAGAATGAATGGTGAGAAGCTGACTGAACAAAAAAGGTCAGGAATTTATTATTAATACCGAAAGCACTTTCTTTATGTTTGCAAGTTTAGTAATGCAGAGGAATAGGTCTTGAATATTGTTACATATGTAGCAGCTCAGAATTCCTGGGGTATTGGTTCATTAAGGAAAGGACAACATGGCTATTCTTCAGGTGATAGACAAATCCACTTATTTTGTTACAGTCTATAGTCTTATCTTTTCAGTAAACTACAGCACATCCTTATGGTTATAGAAATAGCAAGACACAATATTGAGTTGTATCAGTCAGAGATGTGAGGAGGAACTGAGGCCCTACCATTCCATATATGCCTTTTCCTTTAAGATGGGTTGTAGATCGTTAGAATTGTATATAATTAGAATACACAAATAATAAACCATAAAAGTGTGAATCTGTAATAATAGAAAACACTGCTCTGCTGGCCATAAGAGACTAAAAAGATGACTTGTAAACAAATGTTTTGCGAACTCAGAGCACACAAACTGGACTCCTTTCAGATGGAACTGAAGTGCAAAATTTGCTCCTGGACACTCCATGTCTTCCAACTACAGCTGGGCTTTTTGGTCTCAGGTCTAGAATGTGTCTGTAGTAAAACCACTGTAGATATCTGGTCTACAGGATCATTTGAACAGATCCACTCCTACCTCATGTGTTATTGCAGTCAAAGCTGCCTCTTATCCACACTGGCACTAGAGCTGCTCCCTGCAGCAGATGAATCCCATTCCCACAGGAGTCTCCCAGTCTATACAATTTCTCACTTACTGTCTCCCTCTGGCTGCCTAGGAGTTTTTCCACTCTGAGCATGTCCAGTTGCTCTCAGGATGAAGTGCTCCCCTTTCCCAGGCAAACAGGCAGCTGTTCTTCATCCAGTCACAGGGCTATTCACTATGCCTCTTCTAGAGACTGCATAGAAACTTATAATGTACACTAGTGTTCTTCAGAGACACTGGGCATTGCACCTGAGAACGAGATAACTGAAACAATTCAGTGCCCGTACACCTTGTGGTTTCTGAGAAACCTAAAAACTTAAAGAAAGAAAATAGTTCTACTGCTGGTTAGACATGTGCTTTCCTGTCAGGTGAAAGGTGAACTCACAGACTTCAGGGTTTACTGCCCTGGAAGCACTGGTGGCTTTTTGGCAGTGGATGAAGTTTATAAGCATGGTCAGCAGATATTGCAGTGTTGAGAGGGGAAGTCTGATTTTGCATGCACCTGTTTCCAGGCATGGTGGGAATGGGAATAATGAAGCACTCTTGGCGAAAACATGGGATGAAGAGGCTGTTGGGATCTGTACAGCTGTCTTCCAAAATATGGCATTACTACAAACTAACTTGGCAATACCCTGGAGCAGTGGGAAGCAATGAGTAACACCTCTGCCTATAAAGAAAGGAACTGGAAAATAGTCAGCCTGAGAGGTTGACTACAACCTTCCATAAAATAACATTATATCAGAGGAACTTATTGGGCAACCTGGGTATTTCACTATATCTGAGGAAATGAGTGAGCAGCTGAGAAGAGCACATCTGAAGAAACAGAGGAACGCATAGTTGGATCCTCTAACACAAGGGGTCAAACTGTAGTGCTTAAGTTATATGCCTCTTCTGTGAAGTTCAGATCTGATGCTGGTGTGAAGTGACTGATCAAAAGTGGAACTCGTATAGGGACTTCAATTTGGATCAATAGCAAGGAAATAAAGTCAAGGGACTTTTGACTCACTTGCATCCTCATCCTCAATGATTCTCTGTGTTAGATGCTATAATAACATTCTCATTATCTTGTTTACTGAAACAAATGGAATCACTGATGAAGATAATTTTCCTTTCTAATTTAGTGTTTGAAATTTCAAAATTAAACTGCTTTAAAGCCAATGGTAGAAGACAGGTAGTGGCATGGCTCTATAGAACACATGCTGACAATGGCAAAGTGCTGAACTGTTAAAACTGTCACAGATATCGAGGGTTTTTTACATTAAAGTGCTGTCACATGAAGGGTAATTTTCTGCTTTTCAAATTACTAGTCAGATACTGTCTCCTTTATCAGCTAGTATGGAGAAATTGAACAACTTTTTCTCTGTAAATGCTAACCATATGCAACTACATTCAAAACTGATCCTGAAAACTACCTGATCTATAGACATTTCATGCTCCCCATTGTCTGGCTACCAGTACCCCTGAAGAATATCAGTCAACATTATAAGAACCGTAGGAAGTTTTGCTGAAAATGGAACCAGGATAGAAAAATGTACTGAGGTTTCTCATAACTATATAGTGTAAAATATGATAAATGCTTTCCATTAAATTTATACACAAGTATTTTGATAAAAGTTGGCAAGGCATGTTCTTAGCCAGGAGCATTGAAGGTAACTAAAAAATAGGTATGAGGTTTTTGGACTGCAGTGTTAAATCTGAAAGTATTTGAAGTAAAAGTTTTCCTGTTAGCTAGACTTAGTCCCATTACAGTCATGTCATTCTAGAAGTTGCTTTGTGACTAAAGATTCCTATTAAGAGGGAAAGGGAGCACGTTAAAAAAAAAAGTGGGAGAAATCAAATACTCTGTCATGCCTACAGCTATTCAACTCAGTAGTTGTATCTTAGCTCTTCGATTAACTACTTATATGTGTATCTGTAGAATAGGTAATTTGGGGATCTTGATTGTTCTGTAAGTACAGTACAAACTGGAAATGAAATATTATCTGCCCGGAAAACTTACTCTCTGAGCAAGCAAGCTAGAGAGAACTTGGGTAGGGGGGAAGGGAGAGGTGGCTCATGAATGCTTAGGAGCAGGGATGAAATTCTACTAGGAGGGGAATCTGCTCCAAGGGGGTGAGAGTAGAGGAGAAGAAGAAACACTGAATTGAATGGACAAGACAGACTGGGGGGGCAAGGGGAATGATCCCAGAACCCAGAGATTAGAGGGGAGAAGGCAAACAGGAATTCAACTAAACAACCCTAATCAGCAAAAGGGCAAGAGTATTCAGAGTGTAAATGTGAAAAGTGATTAAGCATTGAGAGATTTGTGAACTCTGGCATATTTCTGTGTTCCACATAAGCTATACCCAAGCCCAAAAAACAAGGCTGCTGTTGTCTTGCATCTCATTTTCCTATATATTCCTATGGAAGCAGTATCACCTTTCTCCACACTGTCTCATCTGTACAGCTCTTTACAACTGAGGCTCCTTCTTACTGCTTGTAGGAAGGCGCCATGCTGAGTTCTCAGTGTTCACTAGGATATTGAGACATTATGATACAATAATAATAATGTAGAAATTATATAGAGAAGGATAGTGTATGACTAGATGAACCAATGTATGTAGATAGTATAGATAAAGACATTTTTGGCTATCTACCAGTTATTTCCAGTGAGATATTACTGTGATCTTTCAATATTTCACACCTTAGATGAAACAGCCTTCGAAGAAATGAAAAATTTACTTATATAGGAGAGTAACAAAAGCACCCTAAAGCAGCATGACTGGTATAGAATACATTAGCAGGTACAGGTTTGTGAAAGTAGTTATTTTCACCTTCTGCCTTGTATCCATAGTTACTAATACATACACCTGAAATCTGTAAGCTGTGTATCTGTGCTTCCTCAAATAGAGGTTGTTTCCCCAGTTTAAAGGGTATTTTTACTTGCATCATGTAGACTCTGACTAGATTATGAAGTGGAACTCTTCTCTAGGCTGAACCTGTGACTCTGTTTATTCTCTGAAATCTTTATTATTTTCATTAAGTGAAATAATGAAGACTCAAGAATCTCTCATAAGGAAGCATATTAAGGCATGTCCCTGGAGACTATTGATGGCTATTTTTGTAGTATATCTGTTTAAATCCCCACATCACTTAATCCCTGCAAGTCTTTTCCTCATTGTTGATCTGCAGGTTTTGGATTACTTAACATTTATTTCATATAAATCATGCAAAAACATCTCAGAATAATATGCTGAAGGCTAAGCCAGAGCAATACCTTATAAGGCATTTCATACCAGTTTCAACATGTGTCTCAGAAAACATCTGTGAGCACATGGAGTGCTTTCCGCTGATCATCATAGTACGTGAGTCAAGCCTGCAATGCCTAGGGAGAGGAGTTACTTCTTAAAATGTGTGTGAAACCTAAATGGATTTGAGAGAAAATGTTCTCTAAAAATGGAATTATTTCTCTGTCACTGTGAAGATCATTTAACTACTATCTCTTTGCAAAAAAAAACCAAACCAAAAAAAAACAAAACAAAAAAACCACAGAAAATTCAAACTGATGTTTAAACATTAACAAAATGTCTTCAGATATTTTATTATGTTACCTGCCTAGGAAAATATTTCTTCTTATTTAAAAAGGAAGGAATGAAGAGATGTCTGAATTTGCCTAAAACTGAGGGTTTCATTTACACAAACTGAAACCAAATAATGTTTAGTTCTGTAATAAAAACTTTAGGTTTAGGCAACCAAAACTGAAATGTTACTGACTTGAATTTTCTGCTTTTAATTGCAGGCAAACCATTGGTTAAACTTTTTAATTTACAAGTGGCTTCCTCCCCCCCCCCCCCCTTCCCCAGTGCTTATATGTATGGCACTCAAATAGGTTAACTTTTTAAAAAGGCACAAATAACCTATGCCTTTAAGGTGCCTGCAAATGAGGTGCTTGATTCAGTCATTAGTGTGGGGTCAGCTGCACAATTCAGACCTCAGTGAGTACATTCTCAAAATATGTGAAGAATTTGGAACTGGAATTTAGGTTTGGGTCCCTTTCAAATTCACCATTTTTCAGAAAAGAGAGGAAGGAGTCATGCACTTCAGGCTGAAAAGAACCCTTCAGAAGTTAACATTAGTCTTTTTCCAATTATTTCCTCAATTAGTTTTAGACCAGACTGTTTCATAGTCTTTTGAGTTTCTTTATGGTTTCTGGTAAAAGCACAAGGCATCCGAAGTGTGATATCATCAGTGACATGCTGAGAATAATGCAGAGAGCACAGGGTTAAGAGAGGCTCC